AACCAGCCTGCCAGTAGCCCTGCCTTTCCCCCTGACCCTCTACAGAGCTGCCAGAGCCTGCTTCACCAGTGTACACCTGCTTCCTGACCAACACTGATCAGGCAGTGGCCTGCCTTCTCATAGCAAGCCTCTACAGATCCATCAGACTCTGCTGTTTCCTGAATGACAGCAGAGCAGGCAGTGGCTCTGACCCTCCATGAAAGGCCTCTACAGAGCTTCTTAACCTGGCTGTGCCTTTGTAGGCTTGTTCCAGGCCCAATGCCTGATCCAACGGCCCTCTACAGAGTTGTGAGACCCTGCAGCACCAGTGGTCACCTGCTCCCTGAATGACAGCAGAGAGGGCAACAACTTTTCCTTATTACAGTAGGCCTCTGAAGAGGTGCCAGGCCTGCCTGCACCCTTGCAGGCTTGGTCCAGGCTTAGGAGCTGATCCAGCAGCCCTCCACAGGGCTGCTGGGCCCTGCTGCTCTGGTGTATGCCTACTGCTTGCCTGACAATGAACCAGGTGGTGGCCTTGCCTCTCTGTGGTAGGCCATAATGAAGCTTCTAGGCCTTGCTACATTCATGTTCACATGCTCCAGGCTTTACTGCTTATCCAGCAGCCCTCCCAGGAACTGCCAGACTCTGCTGCACTGGTGTGTGCCTGTAACCTGCTGCACAGTGAATGGGGTGGTGGCTTGCATCCTCAGGCAGGCCTGCATAGAGCCATCTGGCTCTGCTGTGCTGATGCATGCCAGTCGCTGCCCAGACAGTGACATCCACTCCTTTGACAGGCCTTGGAAGAGTTGCCCCACCTTGGGCCCAGGATCACCCATTTCCAGTCCAAAAGCTCATCAGGCAGTGCACCACCACCTAGAGACACAGCATCAGAGCTTCACCCACACATGGCCTAATAGCTGAGCAGGCAGAAACTCTGAGCCTCAGAGAGATCAGCGAACAGCCATTTGGCTCTCTGTGTCCACACATGCCTGGCCCACCAACTAGCCAGGAAGCTCCAATCCAGTAAAACAGTACAAGTGTTTGCACACATTCCTGCAGATATCACATAAGGGGATTACAACCAAAGAAATGACACAGAAACTATGCTACTGAGTCCATGCAGAACAAACTCAATGCCATATATCAAACATATACCTTAGGACTCACTGTAGGGGAAAAAAATCATTTTCATGTAATCCACTCCATAAAATTTGGAAAAGCAATTACTCAGTTATGCATGATGATATCAATGTGAGGACACAGAAACATGAAAAAGCAAGGGAACGTAATGATCCCAAAGTAACACAGTAAGGCTCCAGCAACAGATGCCAAAGAAGAGGGCAGTTACTAAATGCCATTAAAGGAATTTCAAATAATGATCTTAATGAGCCTCAGTGAGATACAAGGGAATACAGACAAACAGTTCAGTGAAATCAGGAAAACAATTCAGGATCTGAATGAGACATTTAACAAAGAGATGAAATCAGGAAAAAGAACCAAACAGAAATATTGGAGCTGAGAAATTCAATGAATAAAATGAAAAATACAACTGAGAGCTTCACCAACAGATTAGATCAAGCAGAAGAGAGAATTTCTGAACTTGAAGACAGATCTTTTGAAATAGCCCAATCAGAGGGGAAAAGAAATTTTTTTTAAAATGAAGAAAGCTTATGAGAATTATGGGACACCATTAAGTGAACATAATGCAGAGGGGGATGTAGGCACAGTCCAGGCCATAAAGTCCTCTGTGTGTGTGAAGTAGAATTGACCCCACCCCAACACCCAGAGGTCATAGAGGAATCACATACCGTATACATGGAACTGTCCGGATGCTTGCTCAGTGCTGAGATATGCATCTGTGGTTTGTAGTGTGTAGTATCCTGTGTCCTCCACAGTGACATTCTGCAACAGTAGGGATCCATTGGGAAATACTCTCTCTCGACCGCTGTATGCAGGCCCTGAGATATTTATTTCAGTATGTATAACATACGATATAATAAGTTGGTCGCTGAGCACTCCTTGCCCTTTATACCAGTGATAGACTAGAAGATTCTCTGGCAGGTTGTGGACAAGTAGAAGAACATCCTGCGCTTCAGCAGCATTGAAGGGCACTGATTCAACAGTGAGTTGAGCAGTGTGGGGTGGGATCCAGAAGGTTAAAAGTGAAACTAGGAGGGAAGAGTGAGAATAAGTAAAGATTGGGGCCTATGTATTGGGTTGGAAGGACGGAGCCCTGGGTTCTGACTAGGTCTCCTTATCTTTCAGCTTGGGGTGTGTGTGTGTATGTGTGTGTGCATGCATGTGTATATGACATGTATGTGTGAGTGAGTATGTGTGTGTGAGTGAGCGTGTCTCCTACTCGGTCAAGGTCAGCAGTGTGACCACTATTGCCTCACTGCCTCTGAACTTGCCATTCCCTCTATTTGGAATGCTCTTCCCTGTTGTCTGCAGGACTCCCCCACACTGCCCTTAGATAACTCCTCACATTAGCACATTCTTTGGAGACATCTTCCCTGACCTCCTTCTCTAGAGCCCCTGGGTCTTCACTTTCTGACCTTTCCCTGCTCCGTTCCCTCCATGGCTCTTGTCAGCACCTAACCTCACCTTCTAGATCTCTTTGCTTCTGTGTTTTCCTCCCCACTACAGCATGAGCTCCATGAAGGCAGGGGCTTGTGTGATCATTTATTTATTTCAGTGCCTGGAACAGGCTGACGACACCTGTGGATGAACTGATGAGTGTTCCCAGGGCCCTGTGAGTCCTGGTGGCTTTTTGCTAGTTTCTGAGGTAGGTGGTTAAGCACAATGTTTAATACCCCAGTTGTGTTCTTATATGGAGCATCCTTCTGACCAAGTTATTATTATCATTTTCCAAAATGTAGTGTTTGGTGATGATTAACTTGGAAAGCAAAGAGCAAATGAGATTTTTCTGCCCCTTCTCAATCCCAGAGAAATGTGATTTTCCTGCTGCTGAGTCTTCTGGCTCCTTGTTGTCATCTCCCTTCAGGTTCCAAATAGAAGCCACCTGTCCCTCTCAGAGCCCTGTCCTCCCCAGGGACATGTCAGCCAGTCTCTGTGCTCTCATCCACCTGCCCACTCCCAGGGATTGGTCCCCTCTCACCTGTGAGCAGGAGCCCCTGCCATGGGATGTGACATTTGCAGTGAGATGCTGAGGGGAGCTCCATGGCCTCTGCTGCCTGCTCTGTCCTCCGTCTGTGGAGAAGAGCTTCTGCTCCAGTAATGCTCTGAAGCACTGCTGCTGAGATGTGTCACCTCTGCTGTCCTTCCTCCCTCTGCACTGAGCCTCCTCCCAGGGCAGGAGCAGTTCCCAGGGTCACATGGGCAGGGGCGGGGTCTCTGCCAGGAGGCCTCTCTCCCCTACCCTCTCAGTTCTGCCTTCTTTGTGCATATCTCCCCTTTCCCCCTGTCTGTTTCAGTTCCCCAGGCCACACTTTTAGAAACAAGGATGATAGGGATTCCTGTCCACCAAGAGGATGACCCACAAGCTGCAGCAATGACCTTTGCTGTGTCCTGGCCTTGGGTCTTTCAGTACCACACAGAGAGGCTCTGGGTACCTAAATCCAGGTCTGAGATTTCCCATGTGACACAGAAATCAGCTAATCACCTGGATCTTCTCAATATTCTACAATCTGGTAGGAAGGACACTCCCAGCAGGAGGTGACAGAGTTGACTCTGGGGGCAAGAAAGGGGCAGCTCAGTGTTGATTGGTGAGAAGACTTGCCCTCTATCTCACTGTCACCAGCTTGGCCTCAGATCCAGGGATCGAGAACCAAACCCGAGTGTTTCAAAGAAGCTGCAGGTCCTGGGTGTGAAGGGGTAGGGGTCCTGCATGTCCAGAGAAGAGAAGACTGTGGGAACAGAGGTCAGGTGCTCCATTGCCCTAGGGGAAGGTTTCATGGAGACCCTCCCTCCATTTGTCTGTAGGTTGAGCTGTGACTCAGGATCCATCCATGATCTCCCTAACTGTTCTGGGTATCCTCTGTCCTCTGCTAGGCTGACTCTCCTGTGGTCATCTCACCTTTCCCCAGGAAGATCCAGGAGAGAATGGGAGCTGCAAGGGACCACTGGCAGAGCAGAGTTCTTAGAGATCCTTAGAAAAAGCAGATGAGACAGAGCAGGTGCAAAGGAGTGACCCGGAAGGTTTTGTTGGAGCAAGAGATAGAAATTAAGCACCACCTTTACCTCTTTAGTGAAAGCTACGCTCCTGTCTCAGATGAATTTACGTACTGAGTGTTGTGTGTGCATCACGATATTGCCCCCTGGAGGGTATGAGGAGACCTGCAGCCAGTGTCAGGGGCTGCACCAGGGATGCTGTCTAGGCTCCAAATAGTGTGAGTGGCCATGGCTCCTGGGCAGACCCCATCACTATGGGCTCTAACCTCCTGGCTGCAGGGTCAGGTAAGCCAGGGTCCTGCTTGTTGAGGATCTCCAGGTTGCCGACTCCATTGCCTTGCAGGATGAGCTGAGAGAGAGGATTGGAGTTGTCCAGAGGACTCTGGGTTCATGTCTGTGAGGACTGTCCATCAGAGGAATGTGCTGCCTTGGAAGGAGCCATATGTCCCTGGGGCATTAGGGGAAGGGCCTGGGAAGGAGTCTTGAGGCTTTAGTGAGAGGATGCTGCCTGGATTGCTGGTTTCCTGAATGCCCAGTGTTTCCCTCCATCACAGCACTGGGGGTGAGCCATCAAAGTCATCTGTGTCTCTGTCTGTTGTCTGCCCTAGACCTCCCCACAGGTCCCAGGAACTGGAGCAGCTCCCATCTGGAGACTGAGAAGGGGATCTGTGGGTTCCTCTGTGAAGGGAGAGGAGGCCTGTGGGCCCTCCGCCCTGCTGCATAAGCAGATCCTGGGTTATCCTGTCCTGTCCTGCATGGGAAGTTCCCCTCATTCCCCAAGGACTCCTTGGGTTGTGGAGGATCTGCAGGGCCCCTAGCCAGGTATCCCCACACATCAGAGACCCTTGGAGATCAGGAGTCCCTCCATGACTTTCTTTGTGGTCAGTGTGGAGCTCAGTCCTGTCTTGGTCATCACTCCAGCTGGGATGGAGGATGCACAGTTTGTGTCCGGTCAGGCATCTTTGTGAGAAGAGGAAGGACATAGGTTGCCTGTCCAGATGCCAAGCATTTAATGAGTGTTAATTGAGCATCTTTTTCATGTCACGTACTGTGCTGCATTCTGGGAATTCCATAGAGACCAGGATAGACATGGTCCCTGAGTTTGTGGAGTTTCTTGGTGGCAGTGAAGATGGGTACTCAGTGAACATCGTGGAACTAAGGAGTTCATAATAATGGAGAGCAGGGCTGTGATGGGACACCATCCGGGGTGTCCAGAGCCTGTGAAGGGGCCAGCTTCACAGGATGTGACCTGTGTTGTCACAAGGACAACTACAATTAGAAATTTCCTGTACTTAATATAATGCCATTATGTCATGGCGCTGAAATTCTTTTCTTATTTAAAATTTTTATTTATTATTAGCATATTCACTCTTAAAAATTGTGATATTTCTTTATGACTTTTGCCTGAACTCTCACTCCCCAAACCCCCTCCCTCCCTAGCGCCCATCTCTAGCATCCTTAGGTTTGTTCTCTCCTTCTGATAGTTCAGTGCATTGTTGCAGTCTTTTCTTTCTTTCTCTCCTTCATTCCTTCCTTCATTCATCCCTTCTCCCTCCCTCCCTTCCTTTGTTTCCAGCAGCCAGTTATGAGGGAGAACATGTGGTATTTCTGTTTCTTTGCCTGGCTTATTTCACTTAACATAATTTTCCCCAGACTCATCTATGTTGCTGCAAATGGCAGCATTTCATTCTTTTTTTATAGATCACTAGTATTCCATTGTGTATATATACCACATTTTCTTTATTCAATCATCCAACGATGGACACTCAGGTTGGTTCCATATTTTGGCTATTGTAAATAGAGCTGCAATGAACATGGGAGTGCAGGTATCCCCTCAAAATGGTGATTTCCATTCCTCTGGATATGTCCCCAGCAGTGGGATTGCTGGATTCTATGGTAGCTGTTTGAGAAAACTCCATATTGTTTTCCATAATGACTTTGCCAGCTTAAACTCCAACAAACAGTGTAGAGAGTTCCTCTCTTTCCACGTCCTTGCCAGCATCTGTTATTTTCAATCATTTTTAAGAACGGCCAGTCTAACCGGGGTGAGATGATATCTCAATGTGCTTTGATTTGCATTTCTCTGATGACTAGTGATGCTGAGCATTTTTCCATGTACATGTTGGCCATTTGTATGTCTTCTTTGAAAAGTGTCTACTCACCTTCTTTTGCCCATTTTTTAACTGGATTATTTGGGTTTTTTACTGTATAGTTTGAATTCTTTGTATATTCTAGATATTAATCCCTTATTGGATGTACAGTTTGCAAGTATTTTCTCCCATTCCATAGGTTGTCTTTCTGCTCTGTTGATTGTTTCCTTTGCTGTGCAGAAGATTTTTAGTTTGATATAATCCCATTTATTTATTATTTCTTTGGTTGCTGGTGTTTTTAGGGTCTTGTTCATAAAGTCTTTCCCCAGTCCTATCACCTGAAGTGTTTCCCCTATATTTTCCTTCAGTAATTTTATGGTTTCAGGTCTTATATTTAAGTGTTTAATCCATTTTGAGTTGATTTTGGTATATGGTGAGAGGTACAGGTCCAATTTCATTTTTCTGCATATAGATGTCCAATATTCCCAGCACCACTTATTGAAGAAGCAGTCTTTTTCCCAATGTGTGTTCTTGCTGCCTTTGTCAATGATCAGTTGACTATAAGTATGTGGGTTGATTCCCAGGTTTTCTGTTCTGTTCCATTGATCCGAGCATCTGTTTTTGTGCCAGTACCATGCTGTTCTGATTACAATAGTTTTGTAATATAATTTGAAGTCAGGTAGTGTTATGCCTCCAGCTTTATTTATTTGTTTGTTTCTTTATTGATTTATTTGGTTAGGATTGCTTTGGATATTCAGGGTCTTTTGTTTGTCCATACGAATGTTTGGATTGCTTTTTCTATTTCTGTGAAGAATGTCATTGGTATTTTGATGGGGATTTCATTGAATCTGTAGATTTCTTTGTGTAGAATGGACATTTTGACAATGTTAATTCTTCACATCCAAGAGCATGGTATGTGTTTCCACTCTTTTGTGTCCTGTTTATTTTCTTTCATTAACATTTTGTAGTTCTCATTGTAGGGATCTTTCACCTCCTTGGTTAAATTGATACCTAGGCATTTCATTTTTTGGTGACTATTGTAAATGGGCTTGCTTTCTTGATTTCATTTTCTGCTAGTTTGTTATTGGAGTGTAAAAATGCTATTGATTTTGGGGTGTTGATTTTGGATCCTTCGACATTACTGAATTTGTTAATCAGCTGTAATAGTTTTCTGGTAGAGTCTATATGTTTTTCTATATATGAGATCATGTCATCAGCAAACAAGGACAGTTTGACCCCATCCTTTCCAATCTCGATGCCCTTTACTTCTTTCTCTTGCCTGTCTGCACTGGCTAGTACTTCCAATACTATGTTAAAACAGGAGTGGTGAGAGTGGGCATCCTTGTCTTGCTCCTGTTCCTAAGGGAACACTTTCAGCTTTACCCCATTCAGGATGATATTGGTGATTTGTTTGTCATTAATTGCTTTTATTGTATTGAGATAATTTCCTTTTATACATAATTTGGTGAGAGTCTTAATCATGAAGCAATGTTGAATTTTGTTGATTGCTTTTTCTGCATCAACTGAGGTAATCATTAGGTTTTGTCCTTGGTTTTTTGATGTGATGTATCACATTTATTGACTTGCATATGTTGAACCAAACTTTCATCCCTGGGATGAATCCCACTTGATCATGGCGTATAATTTTTTGATGTGTTGCTGTAATCTGATTGCCAATATTTTGTTGAGGATTTTTGCATCTATGCTCATCAAGGATATTGACCTGTAGTTTTCCTTTTTGTTGTGTCTTTATCTTGTTTTGGTATCAGGGTGATGCTGGCTTCATAGAATGAGTTTGAGAGAATGGCTTCTGTTTCAATTTTTGGAAAAGTTTGAAGAGAAGTGGTATTTATTCTTTTTTGAAGGTTTGGTAGAATTCAGCTCTAAAGCCATTTATTCCTGATCTTTCTTTGTTGGAAGATTTCTGATTATTGCTTCAATCTTATTGCTTGCTATTGGCCTGTTCATGTTCTCTATTTCTTCTTGGTTCAGTCTTGGTCGTTTGTATGTGTCCAGAAATTTATCCATTTTTTCCAGGTTTTCATAATTTTTGGTGTACAATTGTTTATAATAATCTCTACTGATTCTTCTTATTTCTGTGGCATCAGTTGTAATATCTCCGTTTTCATTCCTGATTTTTGTTATTTGGATCTTCTCTTTCTCTCTCTCTCTCTTTTGTTGTTGTTGTTGTTGTTGTTGTTAACCTAAATAATGCTTTATCTATTTTATCTTGCTTCTCAAAAGACCTACTTTTGTTTCATTGATCTTTTTAATTGTTTTTTGTGGGGTCTATTTCATTTAATTCTGCACTGATCTTGATTATTTCTTTCCATCTGCTACTTTTGAGATTTGATTGTTGTTGTTTTTGTATTCCTTTGAGGCATAGTGTTAGGTCATTTATTTGAAAACATTCCACTCTTCTGATGTAAGCATTTATTTCAATAAAGTTCCCTCTTTGAATGGCTTTTGCAGTATCCCATAGGTTTTTGTATGATGTATCTTTGTTTTCAGTAGTTTGAAGAAATTTTTGATTTGCTGCTTAATTTCTTCTTGGACCCATAGATTGTTCAGGAGTCTGTTGTTCAGTTTCCATGCACTTGAGTAGTTTCCAGAATTTTACTTGTTTATTGATTTCCAGTTTTAATCCATTGTGTCCCGAAAAGATATTTGGGATGAACTGAATTTTTAAAAATTTGCTAAGACTTGATTTGTGACCTAGTATGTGGTCTCTCTTGGAGAATGTTCCATGTGCTGATGAGAAGACTGTATATTCTCTAGTTGTTGGATTAAAAGTTCTTTAGATGCCTCCCAGATATAATTGGTCTAAGCTGTAGTTTAACTTTTGTGCTTCTTTGTTGATTTGTTGCCTGAAAGATCCGTCTAATGGTGAGAGAGGGGTGTTCAGGTCACTCACTGTTATTGTATTTGGGTTCATCTCTTTTTTTAGGTCTAAGAGTGTTTGGTTTATATATCTACGTGCTCCACCGTTGGGTGCATACAGATTTATGATTGTCATATCCTCTATCTGGATAGGTCTCTTTATCATTATATAGTAGCCTTCTTAATCTCTTTTTATGGTTTTTGGTTTGAAGTCTATTTTATCTGATATAAGGATAGGTACCCCTGCTTGATTCTGGTTTCCATTTGCATGATATATCTTTTGCCATTCCTTCACTTTTAGTCTGTTTTTCTTTATAGGTGAGTTGGGTCTCTTGAAGATAGGATATAGTTGAGTCTAGCTTTTTAATCCAATCAGTCAATCTGTGTATTTTTTTTTTTTTTTTACTAGTAAGGGGATCATAACCCCTGGCTCAGTGTTGTCTGCACCACGCTCAGCCAGTGAGCGCACCAGCCATCCCTATATAGGATCTGAACCCGCAGCCTCGGCACTCCCAGCGCCGCACTCTCCCGAGTGAGCCACAGGGTCGGCCCAGTCAATCTGTGTATTTTGAATGGGGAGTTTAATCCATTTATATTCGTGGTCATTATTGATAACTACTGCTTTACTCTTGTCATTATATTGCTTTTTATTTAGATGTTTCAAAAATCATCTGTCCCTTTCTTCCCCTTATTTTTCATCTTCAGTGTTAGTTGGATTTTGAGGTGGTATGATTTAGCTTCTTTTTCTTTCTCATTTGCATTTTGGTTTTAATAGTGGGTTTTGCTCTTTCTTGTGAATCCGTGATATTGATTATCATTTTTCAGATTCCGGATGCAGGACTCCTTTGAGTATTTCTGCAGGGCTGGTCATGTGGTAGTGAACTCCCATAATTTTTGTTTGTCAGGGAAATGCATGATTTCTCCCTCATTTCTGAAGGATGACTGTGCTGGATATAGGATTCTTGGCTGGCAATTTTTTTCTTTTGGTCTTTTGAATATATCATCCCATTTTCTTCTGGCCTGCAAGGTTTCGGTTGAGAAGTTTGCTGTTAATCTGATGGGGGCTCCCTTATAGGTGACTTGGTGCTCTTCTCTTTCTGCTTTTAGAGTTTTCTCTTTGTCTTTGAGTTTTGCCAGTTTGATTATTACGTGTGTGGAGAAGATCTTTTTAGATTGAATCTGTTTGAAGATCTTTTGGCTTCCTGGATCTGAAGGTCAGCATCCCTACCGATACCTGGGAAGTTTTCTATTACTTCCTTGAATAAATTTTCAGTCCCTTTTCTTATTTCCTCCCCTTCTGGAATACCCGTGATTCGGATGTTTGTGCACTTTGGGTTGTCTGCTAGCTCTCTTAAATTATCTTCATTTTTAAAAATTCTTTTTCCTTTTTCCTGTCTGCCTGGGTTATTTCAAAAGGCCATTTTCAAGTTCTGAGATTCTTTCTTCTGCTTGCTCTAGCCTGCTGCTCAAGCTTTGTGTTCTGTTTTTTATTTCATTCATTTCCAGGAATTCTGTTACATTATTTTTTGTGTTATTAATATCTTTGTAAATTTCCTTCTTCATATCCTGGATATTTTTTCTTGCTTCATTGTGACTTCTCAATGGGTACAGGGTTTATGTTTAGAATGACAAACAAGTTTGGGAAATAGAAGTAGTAGTTGCACAGCATTGAAATGTAATTAATTAAACAAAATTGTATGTTTGAAAATGCTTAAATTGGCAACTTATGTTATGTATGTTTTAGCACAATAAAAAATTTGAAAAAAAATAAGTTTCAATCATATCCCCCTGTGTTTGCTGAGCCTGGGTCTGAGGCATTAACCTGTTTCTCCCTTCACAGGTTGTTGACCCCAAGCTTCTCAAGACAGGAGCAGCTCCCCACTTCCTGCTTTTGGCTCAAGGCTTGACCAGCTACATTTGCTTAGGGCAGAAGCACATGGCCATTCTGGGTGTCCAGGGGTGAGGGTCTATGTACTTGGATCTGGGAGGGACTGTGTGACCTGGCCCCTGGCTATGTGATTTTAGCTTGGCAGCCAGGGCCACCAGGGAACAGAAGTTACTTACAGAATACATCGAGGGTGAATGGCTCACTGTGGCTGGCACTCACTGGATTCTGAGTTCTACGTTCGTAAGGTCCTGTATTCATTGTGACTCTGAGTGAGAGACCTGTTGTCCAGGGACAGATCCAGCCTGTGATTGTGATTTGCCAATTTCTGGGATTGGTGGATAAGAGTAATGTTCATTGCCCTTGGGTCTGATCCCTGGTGGACAAGGAGCTTCCAGAGCACCTTCTCTCCTCTGTTTCTCCCCCTGGGCATGCTGACATTCCTAGGGCATCTCCTAAGTTCCCAAGGGCAATTGACTAATGTCTTGGTGCACCTGTCTGTCTATTATCTCCACCTCAAGGAGGTGAAGTAATAGCCTCTGTCCTTGCCTTGATATAGCTCTTGGGGTTGAGTCTTGGCTGGTGTCCAGCTCTGGGGGCTGGTGATAAGACTCAGGCAGCTGGTAAATCATTGTTCCCCATAAGCTCTGCCCAGGAGGCCAAAACCCAGCCTTGGCCACAGGCTTTAGGTCACCTGGAATCAGGAACCTTGGGATAGGGGTCTGCAGTAGAGGCTTCCTGAGGCTAAGCTTCCCTGTGAGGATCCCAGAGGTTCCTCAGGCCAGACCCTGACCAAGTCCGGCAGAATCTTCCTCAGGGTCATATCCTTGGGTGGGTGGGGTGACAGGGGGCTGGACTGAGACTGGTCTCCTTCTGCTGAGTGACCCCATCAGAGTGTCATTCTCTCTGCAGCTGGTGTCTGCAGGGTCAGAAATCTCGAGTAAGAAATTCTGATCTTTTGAAGTTTGTCTCCACAGTCTGTGTCCTGCACTACTGTTCAAACCCCAACATGGGACATAATGCAGAGGGGGATGTAGGCACATTCCAGGCCTGATAGTCTAGTGTGTGTGAAGTAGAATTGCCTCCACCCCAACACCAAGAGGTGTAGAGGAATCATTTATGGTATACGCGGAACTGTCCAGATACTTGCACAGTGCTGAGACTTGCATCTATGATTTGTAGTGTGTATTGTCCTATGCCCCAAATGGTTATGTTATGGAACAGCAGGGATCTATTGGGGAATAATGTCTTTTGACTGCTGTATGAAGGCTCTGGGGTATTTTTTTGAGTGAATTTTATATATGCTACAATGCGAAGATTAGCACCTACCCTTTTTCCTTTGTACCAGACATAACTTGAGTATTCTCTGGCAGATTTTGGACAAAATTGTTGAACATCCTTCCCTTCAGCAGCATTGAATGGCACAGATTCCATAGTGAGTTGGGCAGTGGTGGGAGGGTTCCAGAAGGTTACAAGTGAGGACAGGAAGGAAGGGAGAGAAATCAGCCAACATTGGGACATATGGACTGTGATAAAAACAGGGAGCCCTGAGTCCTAAGCAGGTCTCTTTATCCTTCAAGTTTCGTGTGTGTGTGTGTGTGTGTGTGTGTGTCCTGCTAGGTTAGGGTCAGCAGTGTGACCTCCGTTCCCCCAGAGACTCTGAACTTGTCATTCCCTCTGTAATACTAGTCCTCAGTGTCTTTAAGGCTCACCCCCTAACTGCCCTCAGACCCATGCTCACATTCAGGGCACCCTGGGAGATGCCTTCCCTGACCACCTCCTCTAGAGACGCTGGTTCCTCACTTTCTGACCTTTCTCTGCTCTGTTCCCTCCATGGCTCTTGCCAACACCAGCAGTGGATTGAATGGTTCCCCCAAACCATTGAAGCTTAATCCCCACTGTAACTATTGAGGATGGGAAATCCTATTGTGGTCACTGAAAGGTGGGGACTTGTGGAGGTGATTAATTGTAAGGACCATGCCACCGTGAATGGACGTGGTTCTGAGGGCTTTAAAAGGAGAGCACATGAGAGTCTCTCTCTATCTCTGCTTGGCCATTTTCTGCCTTGTGAGACACCTGTATTAGTGTCACCACCGAGACCTTCACCAGATGTGTTTCCTGGACTTTGGGCTTCCTAGCCTTGGAAACTGTAAGCAATACATTCCATTTTCTTACAAAATACACACTTCTAAGTATTTAGTTATAAGCAACAGAAATGGCCTAATACAACACCTGACCTCACCTTCTAGATCTCTTTGTCTTCCTCCCCAGTGGAGCGTGAGCTCCATGAGGGCAGGGCCTTGTGTGGTCTTTGCTGTACCCCAGTGCCTAGGACAGGCTGCAGATACCTGTGGAAGAGTTAAGGAGCATTCTCAGGTTGCCCACATCCCGGTATTCTTCTGTCAATTTCTGAGGTCTGTAAGTGCAAAGGTTAGTGCCCCTGATTCTTTTTGCTTTTCTTGATTTTCACCGTGATGTAAATTGTTATTATCATCAGTTTTCAAAATTCAGTGTTCAGTGATGAATAACTTCAAAAACAAAGAGCAATTGAGATTCTCCTTCCCCTTTCCATTTCCAGCTCACTGAATCTTTCCTGTTGCTGAGCTTCCTCTGTCTCTTTGCTGCCCTCTCCCCTCACGCTCCAAGCGAAAACCCCCGTCCCCTCTCGGGGTCCTTTCCTCACCAGCAGACCACAGCCAGTCTCTATGCTCCCATCCTCCCACCCACTCCCAGGGAACCTTCCCCTCTCACCTGTGAGCAGGAGGCTCTGCCTGGGGATGTGCTGTCTGTGTGCAGGGTCTGGGGGGGCGTCTCATGGTCTCTGCTGCCTGCTCTGTCCTCCCTCTGTGGAGAAGAGCTTTGGCTCCAGAAATACTCACAGCACTGCAGCTGGGATGGGTCAGCTCTGCTGTCCTTTCTCCATCTGTGCTGAGCCTGGACCCAGGGCAGGAGCACTTCCCAGGTTCACATGGGATGGAGACGGGGTCTCTGTCCAGGAGGTCTCCCTGTCCCCTTCTCTGTTATTCCTGCCTCTTGTGTTCCTTCTTCCCTTTTCCCATCTGTGTACATTTGCCTTCTTCAGCTATGACTCTCCCTCCAACTGCCCATACATGCACAGACACACACACAGACATGCACAGACACACACATGCACAACCACACGTACCCAAAACACACACACAGGCAGATACACTTATGCACAACCACACATAGACACACAGAGAGAGACAGATGCACAACCACACACGTACACACACACAGACACACCCACATATAGACACACAGCATTGGCCAAACAAGCACAGTCCTGGGCCCTCAGTGTCCTGCCACCCCCACAGGTACAGGTTGGGGTGCACAGACAGCCTCCCCCACAGAACTCTCATCTCTCTCTCTTTCCCTTCAGAGCAGAAGCCAGGGGTCTGCACCAGGAACTCCTGTCACAGGGATTTCACCCTTGCTGTGGATCACAATCACCAGGGGAACTTTACAAAGATTTTAGAATCCTGGGTGACATATAAGAAATGCTGCCTCAGTGGCTGCACAAGTGACATCGATGTCCAGCCAGGGTGAGACTCAATGTGAGGGCCATGGTGGGGGTCATTTTCTCCCTGTGCACACAGAGTGTCTATAGACCCTGTTAAAAGGCAGGTTCAGACTTGGCAGGTGTGGAGTAGACCTGAGAGTCTGCATCTTCCAGCTCTCAGGTGATGCTGATGGTACTGTCCTGGGCGCTCACTGTCAGAAGCAAGGCCGATGGGGACCCCTGTCTCCCTGGAGGAAGACGTGATACCCCAGCACTGATCTCTGCCATGGACAGGCCTTGGGTCTCTGTGTGTCAGCAACACATAGAGAAACCCCTGTGGTCCCAACTGTGTGGGTTAATGTCTCTTTGTGATGCAGAACCCCGGCTAAACACCTGGGTCTTCCCAGTGTTTCAAATGTGCTGGGAAGGTTGGACTTACTCCTAGCAGGAGGTGACAGGATCAACTGTGGGGCTAGAAAGGGGCAGCAGAGTGATGAGTGGTGAGGGGACCCACCCTCTATCTCAGTGTCACCAGCTTGGCCTCTGATCCAGTGGAAGAGACTATGGACAGGGTGTCTCAGAAGGAGCTGCAGGCCCTGGGTGTGAAAGGGGAGGAGTCCTGCATGTCCTGGGAAGAAAGAACTTTGGTGGTGGGAGGTCGGGTGCTGTGGGCTCCATTGTCCTTGGGGAAGGTTTCAGGGAGACCCTTCCTCTTCCTCTTTGTGTCTGTTGGCTGAGCTGTGGCTCAGGGATTGTCCTTTACCATTCTGGGCAGTGTGTGTCCTCTGCCAGGCTGACTCTCCTGTGGTCATCCTGCCTTTCCCCATGGGTAGTCCCAGGAGGGAGTGGGAGATGTACGGGGACCCCTGGTAAAGCAGGATCCTTAGAGGCCTCAGGAGGAGCAGGAGGGACAGATCAGGCATGTGGGAGGATTCCAGAAGTGTCTGTTGGGGCAAAGCATTGAAATCAGGTTTCATTGAGGGAGTGGGAGCTGCACAGGGACCCCTGGTAGACCAGGATCCTTAGAGGCCTCAGGAAGGAGCAGGAGGGACAGATCAGGCATGTGGGAGGATTCCAGAAGTGTCTATTGGGTCAAGGGATGGAAATCAGGTTTCACCTCCACCTCCTTTGCCAAAGCCAGGTTCCTGTCTGAGGGGAATTCATTTCCTGAATGTTGTCTGTGCATCCCAATATCACCTCTGGGAGGGCATGAGGAGATCTACAGCCAGCGTCAGGGGCTGTACCAGGGATGCTGACCAGACTCCAAATGATGTGTGTGGTCATGATCCCTGGACAGAAGCGGGCTCTGACCTCCTGGCTGCAAGGTCAGTTCAGCCCAGGTCTTGTTCACTGTGGGTCTCCAAGCTGCCGACTCCATCCCAGTGGAGGGCGAGCTGAGGGAGAGGACAGGGGTTGTGCAGAGGACTCCTGGTTCACCTGTTGGAAGAACTGTCCACCAGGGGGATGTGCTGCCTCTGGAAAAGCCATCTGTCCTCAAGGTTTCAAAGGAAGGGCCTGGGGAGGAGTCTCTTGAGGTTTTAGTGAGAAGACGCTGGCCTGCAAGCCTCATCTCCAGAACACCCTATTTCCCACCGTCACAGCACTGGGGGTGAAGCCTCAAAATCATCTGTTTCCCATCTGTCATCTACTCTAGGCCCACCCACAGGGCCCAGGAACTGGAGCAGCTCCCATCTGGAGACTCAGCAGGGGATCTGTGGGTTCCTCTGTTAGGGGAGGGGAGGCCCCGTGGCCCCTCAGCCCCTCTGAGATAGAAGCACAGGCCGATGTTAGTTGTCCTGTCCTGTCCTGCATGGGAAGTTCCCCTTGCCCCCTGGGACTCCTTGGGCTGGGGAGGATCTGCAGGGACCATAGCCAGGTGTCCCCACAGATCTGGGACTCTCAGGGTTGGGGAGGTACCCCTTGACCTCTTTTGTGGTCTGGGCGGAGCTCAGTTTTGCCCTGGTGGTTACTCCATCTGAGATGAAGGACAGAGATTTTGTGACAAGTCAGGTGTATTTGTGAGAAGAGGAAGGACAAAGGCTGCCTGTCCAGGCTCTCCTGGTAGATGTTTTGTTGCTGACAAGTCAGAGTTGGGTAGTGGGGGTCAATGTTCTGGGAATGAATTGGGTTCTTACCCCTCACTGTTAGGTGGTCCTGGTCCTCCCCTGAAGCTACCAGGGTAAAAGTCCTGTCCCTGGGACAGCTGCAGGCACTTGCCGGTCTCCTCCCCTGCTGATGCCTGTGACCTGTGTCCACAGGGAACATGCTCTGACCTCCAGGTGTCACATGGAGGTGTTGTTCTTCTATGTATGTTTTACCCCATCCATTTAAAGAGTATTTATTGCACATCTGTTTCATGTCAGACATTGTGTTGGGCCCTGGGAATCCCACAGAGAGCAGGACACACACAGATCCTGTGTTTGTGTAGTTTCCCTGTGACAGGGAAAGGGGCATCGGGGAACTATGGAGTTAACGATCATGGAGAGAAGGCTGTGAAGGGACAGCGTCTGGGAAGTCTGAAGCCTGTGATGAGCTGAGCTAGTCTAAGGATCAGAGGGAGCTCCCCTGAAAGTGCCCTTTTGGCTGAGACATGAAGCCGAGTGGTCGTCCCCAGGCAGGACAGAGGGTGTGGAGGCAGGAGCTGCCTGCTGAGGGAGTGACCTTCAGGTGGGAGATGCCAGGCTGGAGGGAGGAGATGACAGATCATTTGTGGGGGCTTGGAGAATGAGGAGGACTGTGGACTGAGCTGAGCCTGGTGAGGGTCGGACCCTGATGGGCTGTAGGTCATGCTGAGGGGGGTCTGCAGCCAGCTGGGAGGCCCCAGGTTGTGGGGACTTTGCTGCCCTCTGGTGGATGCTGAAGAAAGTATAGATGGCAGAGGCACCATGCCAGGCTGCATGTTTTATTCAGCACAAATCTGCAGGCATTTCCCATGGGTCACATGTCATGTTACTGCTCCACCACATTCTAGCTTCATGAGGCTCAGTCTATATTGCTCCAAGTATGCTTGTTCTTCCCACCTTTTCAATGAGATGCCCAAACTGAGATTTGCAGCAATATGTATTCCTTTGTTTTTGTCTCTAGTAATTTTTGGCATGCTCACCCCTTGGGACAGTGATGTCTGGGGCTGAGCGCTGGGTGGGAGTCTGTAAGTAGAAAAGGGAGGGACGGGAGGGGAGGCCAGTGTCAGGGGAGCAGAGGGGAAAGATGGAAAAGTCAACTTCACTTCTCACTCCCTGGGCCTGGGGACAGGGCACCCTGGCTCAAGGATACACAGCACCAAACCCCTCTCTCATACCTGGGTTAGGTGAGGTGGGAGCTGCTGCCCCTTCTGCTCACCAGCACCTGGTCTCACCTTGTGAGACGGCTTCACTCTCAGTCCCACACTGGGCTGCACCCCACAGAGCCTGTTTTTCCCCCTCTTCTCCCTCCCCATTCCTGAGTTTTCTTTCCTGCAACTTCTCCCTGGGCCTCCACTGACTTCCTTGGTAAGTGACCCCACCTGCGCCCATTTAAGGCAGCTGTGCTGTTGTCACTGCCCCTGCACAAGCTCTTGCCTCACCGGCCTCTGTCATGTATTCTGAACCCTGGTCCCTGCAAGGGAAGAAGGCAAAGCAGAGATTGACACTGTCCACGGTGCTGCACTGTCTGCACAACTTGAGAATGAGGGGCCCTGAAGTACCGCCAGGAAAGAGGTCAAAGAAGGGAGCTGTGTCTCAGTGGTGTTGGATCACAGGGGGCACTGCTCCAGGGTGAGCTGGACCTGTGAACTGCAGGAACCCAGCTCAGTGTTGTCTACTAGCTCCTTCTGCTCTGTGTTCCTCTCTGTAGCTGATGCTGTTGCATTTTACCTGAGCCTGATATAGAAACCTGCTTACAATGCCCAGATGGTCAGAGCACTTCATGGAAACCTAATGGAGGGTCCTGTGTCCTCACACAGAGTGTTCAGGAGACAGATTTCATTACCTCCCATTTCCTAACCCTATAACAAGAACTGAATAGTGGGCAGGATTCCAGCTTCTCCACATTCTTATTAACACTTATTATTTGACTTTATTTAAAAAAATTATAGCAATAATAGTGGGTATTGTCCAACTAAATAAAAAACTGAGAGAGGCTCTCTTAAAGAATAATGAGTTCAATCGGGAATGGGACGTTGCAATGGGAACTCGTGTGTGATAGTAAGCTCTGTGCATATTCTGGGAGATAAAGGAAGACAAAGATTTTTAAAGAAAAATGGTGGAAGATCACATAATTGCTTTGGGATAATTATTCTTACCTACAGGGATCAATAACAAAAGTGATGCCACTCCAAGGTTAGACAGGCAGTTTCTGGGCAGATGTCCTTGCAGAAGCATTTTTTATTAAGGTTGCAATGGTTTTTGGCAGATATCCTTGAAGAAATATTTTTTTGGTTGCTTTGGTGTGCACTTGTGGTTTTGCAGAGTCCTTTGTAGTAGTTCTTGTTATCATCATATGTCCAGAGGAACACCGCCTTCATGGCTTTCCCTGCTCTATTTTTCAGAGTTTTTGATGTAAGTAATTCCACTTTGACTCTGACAGCTTTCACAATGTGAAGTTGTACCTCACTGTGATTTTTTTTAAAAAAGACTAACATTTTGGTCGGGGCCCTGCGCTGTCCACGGGGAGGCGCGTGCCCGCCTGCGAGCCAGCCCAGACCGGCGCAGAGATTATTTTCTTCTGAGAAACTCACTCAGAGGGACCATTCTCTCCCCAACCCCAGCTGGAGCAAGGACTTAAGACTCCTCTTTGACCAGTTCATGAAGAAATGTGAAGACAGCTCCTGGAAACGTTTGCCTTCATATAAATGTGAATCTTCTCAAAAGGTTCAAGACTTCAAAACCCATTTTCTTGAAAATTTTTTAAAAGTTTATTTGAGGAGAGCGCCCGAGCCACACCGTGGGACCGAGTGAGCAGCCCAACGTGGCAGCGGCCAAGGACAGGGATGGTGACAACATGGAAATGGAGAGGGAGCCACCCAGCCAGCCCAGCTCTGTGAGTGACCCCCAGAGCAGCCCTGCTTGTGGGAAAGATGCCTGTCCAGCTTCCACCTGCCACACCAGGCCAGTCACCAGCCCCAGGGCTGCCTCCATTTTCTCGGGTGGGGGCAGAGCCGGCCGGCTCAGCCAGGCCTGCCCTCCTCGCCTGGCTCGGCTCCTCACTGAGCCTTACCACTTGCTTGCCCTGGTGCGGGGCCTCCCGGGGCCTGTGGGCCAGCCTCCCATCCCACTCCTCCCGTGGTTCTCTGGCAGGGCTGGTGGCGTGGGGAGCCCCCGGCCAGCGATGGGAGGGCAGGGAAGAGTGGGCCGGGCCGATTGTCACTCCACCACACCCTGGGCTCTGGCCCCTGGTAAACTTCCTGTTACCGGGAGGCAGATACCATCTATGCGGCCATCAGTTCGGAAAAACGCCTAACCGATTTCTGGTTAGGAAAAGTGTGGTCAGAGTGCTCCCGAGCTCGCTTGAACCTCCCGGAGAGCTGACTGCGGGAGGCCACTGGAGTCGGTCCTCACCGGAGTGATTCAAAGAGGAACTGTGTGCTGCAGGCTCCTCCCCCGAGGACCTCATGCCCTAGTGTGGGAGATAAGACAAGTATACAAATAACCACAATACCAGGAGGAAGGTGATAAGTCCCGAGAAAGCCCTATTCAGTGCTACAAAGGCACCCAGAGCGACCGGTCGTCTGCGCCTAGCAGAAACCTGAAAGTTTTCCTGGGTGGGGCAGTGCCAAGTAGGGGCTTGAAGGCCCAGCTGATAGATGAGGGTTGCAGAAGACACACCCCAGCCCAGTACAGTGCGCACAGAGCGGTGAGGCATCCAGCTAGGGAGGCAGAGACTTGGCAGAAAACACATACCCTGCGGGCCATCTCTGCAAGGTCCAACAGCCCCACCTAGTGTGCACAGAGCAGGGAGACGTCCGGATAGGGAGGTAGAGACTCGGCAGAAAACACACCCCCTGTGGGGCCGCCACTGTGTGATCCAGCAGCCAGTGCCAGAGCGCACAGAACAGAGAGAAGTTTTACACGGGACATGGAAGCTCAAAAGAGACCACACACCCTGCGGTACTGTCCCGTGATCCAGCAGCCCAGCAGAGTCCAAGCTGATCAGAGAGGAGGCTCCCTGGAGAGGCCCAAGACCTGAGGCAACCACACACAAGATACTAGAGGCCAACTGAGCAGTCACAGAGGTAGCCATACCAAATTGACAAACAGCCACACCTTAGTTAGCCAATAGGGTCAAACCTGTGCACTGTGAAACCCCCTGCCAAAATGAATAAACAGCAAAGAAAAGATATCAGAAATACAAACAACCAAGAACACCACCAAAAGTTAATAAATCTCAAACTCTAGATTCTATAGAACAAGAAGCCCTTGAAATGAATGACAAGGAATTTCGAGTGATAATTCTAAAGAAACTGAATGAGATACAAGAAAATTCAGCTAGACAGCATGATGAAACGAGGAAAAGTATACAGTACCTGAAAGAGGAAATGTACAGGGAAATCAATGTCCTGAAAAAAAATGTAGGAGAACTTGCCAAACTGAAGAAGTTATTCAGTGAAATAAAAAACACAATGGAGAGTTTAACCACAGGCTTGCGGAAGTTGAAGAGAAAACCTCTGACAGGCTTGCGGAAGTTGAAGAGAAAACCTCTGAACTTGAAGATGGACTGTTTGAAATAATACAGGCAGACATAAGAAAAAAAAAGAAAAAAGAATCAAAGACATTGGAGAAAATCTGAGAGAGATGTCAGACAACCTTAAGCGCTCAAATATCCGAGTCATGGGTATTCCGGAAGGGGAGGAAAAAGGAAATTGCACTGAAAACATATTCAACAGAATAGTGGCAGAAAACTTCCCAGGCATAGGAAAAATCACAGATCTTCAGATCCAGGAAGCTCAACGATCTCCAAACGTATTCAACCCAAAAAGGTCTTCTCCAAGACATGTTATAGTCAAATTGGCAAAACTCAAAGACAAAGAGAGAATCTTAAAAGCTGCAAGAGAAAGACAAAGAGAGAATCATAAAAGCTGCAAGAGAGAAGTGTCAAATCACCAATAAGGGAGCCCCAATCAGGCTAACATCTGACTTTTCATCACAAACCCTAAAAGCAAGAAAGGAATGGGAGGATGCATTCAAAATACTAAAAGACAAAGATTGCCAGCCAAGAATACTCTACCCTGCAAGGCTGTCCTTCTGAAATGAAGGGCAAATAGTATATTTCTCAGAAAAACAAAAACTGAGGGAGTTCACCACCACACGACCACCCTTACAAAAAATTCTCAAGGGAATACTGGGTTTGGTTCCTGAAAAATAACTACCACTGCCATAAAAACCCAAGAAAAATCAAAACCTACTAGTATAATAAAAATGACAATCATGAAAAGAAAACAAACAAACAAAAAGTCTATCTACCTATTAAGGAACCAACAAACACAGAAAACAAATGGCAAAGCAGAAAGCAAGGAACAAAAGACACCTAAGACAACCGAACAACCAATAAAATGCTG